TGCTTAACTGTGACATTAGAAACCAATGCAAATTTGATTCCTGCTGATCAGTCTGTGCCACTGCTCAGCAGAGCCGGGTACCCCCATCCTCACAGTCCCTCCATCCCTCAAGAGGCAGCATTCAGACCTAAGCCAACCCAACTCCAGATGAAGGACCCTAATGAGTATCCAAGCACCATGAAAATATTCCACAGTACTCTCCACCATGGATATGCTGATACCCAGGGCACAGAAGAAAAGCTTTTCATCTCCAAAGGGATAATACACCAGTTTAGATTTGGTATGGTCTACAAGCAGCAGTTGCAGCTTGTTAGAGATGCCACAGATGCACGTAACAAGGAGTGGGTTATCAGTAAAGCTGAGTGATACAAAAATAAATGTAGGCCTTGTTTGTCTCCCTTCACCTTCATTAATGTTTAAAGGAGGGACAGGCTGGAGCCCAGCACAGATTTTAATTCAGCTGTTTCTTTCCTTCCTTTCTGCAAACTAACTTACAGGCAGGAAGAGCACACACACAGCAGAATACATTACTAATAATAATTCCTAAAATAAATACCAGGATATTAGATCTTCAACTGCGTATAAAATTGATACACTGCGCCATCTTACTCCAAGCTCGTGCTCTGAAATTATGCCTCTATATGAATTATAAGCACAAGCTTTTATCAAAAGCCTTTGCAGTTTTGTATGTTACTTCCCAAAGAGCTCCCTTCCTGGAGATCCAGAAATAAAACTTTGCTGGGGGAAGGAGCACAAAACCATCCCCATCACTTCTCTGCTCCTCAGATTAAGCAGCTGCAGTCTTCAGCTGCAGCATTAAGTGAAACAACATGCAGGTGATTGGAAGTGCCAGGAGTAACTGTTCAGTCTGTGCGTGGGCACCAGAGGGATGGCTCACCCTGTGCAGGAGGGTTGGCATCACACAGCTGGCTGCAGTCACAGTGCAGGTGAAGGTGACATTTATTATGTGCAGATTTTAAGCAGTTCAGGTGCCATGCAAGTAATAACTAATGAGCAAGTCAAGCAATAGATAATCTACACAGCTGAAAGTTTCCAGATGCCAATAAGAAAACACCTTAAAAGAGAATATGTTTTCAACAGCCATTAGCATAAAAATAAGTAAGACTTGGCACAGCTACACACAATACTTTGAGGCTGATTATATAATTAAAGGCATAAGGTGACAATCGTAGGCAAAAATGATCAAGGAACCCGAGCCTGAATGAGATTATTTCTACAAAATCAGAACAGCTCTGGTTCAGTGGCCCAGAAGAGGCAAAATGCCCACCAACCTGCACTGCAACCTGGGAGATATCAGTAACATCTAAATACCACCTTTAGACCAGAACCAACACAGGATTATTCTCGACTTTCACACTATCCAGCTACTACCAAATGAGCCAGGCTACCTGCCAGCTGCACCCTGCAAACATAATAATACAAGATTTAATGGAAGATGCAGCACTGTGCCAGCATATTTGTGTTCCCCTCAGCAGGTGGAGTCCTGCTGATGACCTGCAGCAGTGCCCTGATGAACCACCAGCTGAGAACTGTGCCTTCCCCTCTCATAGGAGAAACTTGCCCCAGGAAACATGGCAAGCAGCCTGACTTCAGCACAGACAGAAAAGCAGCCTCATACTGACTGCAACAGGGGGAAAATATGAATGTTAACTAAGATAGTTTGGTACAGTACCCCAATAGCTGAAAAAAAAATAAGTGTTACTATGAGTGACCTCAGAGCACTGACTCACAAAACTGCATTCCTGAGAGCTCCTTCCTACATAAGGAGGGGAACAGAGATCCCAGAACACCCCACACATTGCCTCAGAGGCACCTCAGAGCCCTTCTAGGACTGCACAGAGCTGTCCATGAAGTGTGGCCACCTCTAATCATAGAATCATAGAATGGGTAGAATGGCCTGGGATGAAAAGGACCATCTAGTTTCAACCCCCCTGCTATGTGCAGGGTCACCAACCACTGATCAACCTGAGCACAAAAACAACTTGGCCAAATGCACAGCAAAGCCTTTTCCATAAGTCTCACCCCAGAGCTGGTAAGCTCTGTATATTCAGGAGTTTTGACACGTACTCTGCTCAGAAGGACTTGGCTCACCCTGGAAAGCTGCAGATCCCAGCTGCACAGTGCTCCACGTGCAGCACCCAGGAGCTGTAGAAGTGTTGGAGCACCCTATGGAAGGAGCCTGAGAAGTTTCACAGTGCAAAAGCCAACAGCAACATCCTCCAGAATTAATGTGGACCAGGCAAGCTGATGTTTTTCAGTGCAGTACTATCACCATCCTTTTTAATTAGGTTTCCTATTTTAGTTCATTATATACCCAAGGAAGTTCAGACTGCCTTCACGTGTTTATTGCTATTCCAATCAAGACTAAAAATACTTCAAAAAAAACAAACCTCTTCTCAGGAACAGCCATAAATCCGAGAGGTGGAAGGCTGAGCATCAGGGAAACATCAGTGCAGTGCTGAAAAGTTAATTTCTCATGCAGAAGGGCTGTACATTGCAGTCTGTGGCCTCAAGACTTATTTTTCCCTTTATAAATGCAAAGCACAACTGCAATAATTCCACAACAGACCATGAAGAAATCGATTTGGCAATCTGAACGTAAATTAAGTAATGTTTTTGATTCAGTAAACTTGTTGTGATCTACATAGGAACAAGTATTAGCGAAGGTCAGTGACCCACAGCCAAGCGTTTGCTTTGATGAAGTTTGTAGGCATTTCAGATCAGAGCACACTCCAAATTATTTGACCTGTAAGTTAACCCTTTATGTATTCCTAAAGCAATTTCAGAATCACTAGGAGCTTTTCCATTTGTGATTCAACGTTTTAAGCACGTGTTAATGAAATTATGTATTAATCAGCAGCCACGTATTTGGTAACTAACAAACATTCCTAATGAATAAAGAGCAGCATGGCAGGATGGCACAGACTGCTGCCAGATGCCACGGGTCCCATGGATAAACAACAGCCACCACCAGCCAGCACAGGAGATGAACTCCCATCTGATCAAAGCCAGATATCACTAAAAAAAAGATTAAATGGTTTGTGTTCTTACAAAATTTATTGAGACTAAATTTTCTGAAAGATAATGAATGCATTTTGAGAGAAAACAGCAGTTCTCAATTTCACTGCCCTACCTTAAAGCTGCATTCAGTATTCAGATTCATTTTGGTGTTGCACCATATAACCATCTTTTTTTTTTGGATCAAGCTTTCCGTGCAGTTAATTTATTAAAAACCTGAATTCTGACACCCCTTGAAGCTATGTTAACTGCATCCTTTGTACATTAGAAGTTTTAATATTCACACCTGCTATCAATTCTGTACAAATCGGAACAAATACATTTCCAGCTTAGATCCTTTCACCTCAAGCAACATCAAGTAATTGGTGCAATAACTTCATGGTTTTTAAAGCAAGATCAAATGAGTGAGCGCCTTTCATGTCTTGTAATAGTTCTACAGTTTATATTAAAAAACTCATTTGAGTAATGAATTTAATTATTCAGGGTAACATTTTCAAAAATCGTAACAAACATGCATTAGTGAGGAATGACTTCATTTTGAGATGCAGAAATACGTCACAAACTTATTTTTCTTTAATAAGAGGGCAAAAGTGATCTAAGGCAATACAGAAACACACTTAACATCACAGTGCCTGCATACGGTGACTCCAGATAGCAACAAAATACAAAGGGAGATGAGGGCAACTATTCTCTTCGCTTTTGCAGAACAGAGGAGGGACACCTCAAGGAAAAAGCACCTGTGGCAGAACTCAATTGCACAACATCCAACTCCATTCAAAGGATTGTCAGGCCTGCTGAACAGTAAAAAGCATCTTTTCCACTGCCTTAAGCTGCCGTACTGAAATTAAGCACACAAACACAGGTATTTGTAGTTGGGAGTCAGCCAGAAGAAATGGGATTCTCCAAGTAGAACAAAAAATCCTGAGACTTAAACAGATCTGAGTGCTGCAGGAATCCATCACAGGCTCATCGTCAGCTTGGCACCGAGTGCCAGCACACAGGTGTTTGAGGCAACAGGAGTCAAAAATACCTGAGTGTCCTTCCTCTTGCCTCCCCACCACATCCCACTTTCAACCATTTGAGCAATCATTTAGCAAACCTATAGTAATCAGAAACTCGTTAAATAATTAAAATTGTTCCAGCATTGTTATATTCTTATAAAAATCATATTTCTGGAGCTTTACGGCCCTGCTGTCTTGCCTCTGTTTCAGCAAAGTGAGAATCTGAACAGAAAGAACAAATGCAAACTGCAAATTCTGGTGAGGACAGCCTACACGGGACACATTACAGAGCAGGGAGCAGACTCCTAACCAACATCACCACGAGAAAGTCAGTGTCACCTTCAGCATAGAGTGGGTTCAGCTGCTACACCACTACCACAAACCCAGGGCTTGAATGCTGGTGAGCATCACCATGCTGCATTGGGCCCCTTCAGGCCATGCATTCAGGTCCCCTTATGCTGGATCAACATCACTGTCAGTCATTAAGGCCCCACCACCACCTCGGTACATTTCTGACAGCTCTGTGCTTTGCAGCAGGGATCCTGTGGCCTTTTAAGCTTGCTGGTCCCCTGAGAACTACACATGCCTCAGTTTCCCTTTGGCTAAGCAGGAAAGGACTTGTTCAGTTTTCACCTGAAGTCTCAATGACCCAAATAGATCAGAGTTCACTCGTTAAACTTAGCTCAATTGTCCCAGTGCCCCAGGACAGAGCGTACCATGAAGTCTTTGGGGGCTGAGACCACAGCTCCACTACAACCAGATGCACAGTTTTACTCCCAGAGCTACAGCTTGTCATACTTCGTGGTCTCTACACAATCACTGTTTCTCCGCTGACCTCCTCAGCACGTACTTTGTACAAATACACAGAGATATAAGCCCCCACTTGTTCCGTCTTCACAGTACAGAAAGCCTGAGAACAGCACAAACACAGGGGCTGCAGCAGCAGCCGATCTGCCGTACCTCTTGGTGCAGCCCCTCCAGGTCTGAGTGCGGCCTTCTGCTCCCATCCAAGTCCATCCATCCCCTTGTGAACGACAGGAAAGCCCCAAGCAAAACGAGAGACAACGGAAAACTTCTTGACTTCATCATTTCACGTCTGCTGAAAACAAGAGAACAGTCATGAAACAGTCTCAAAATAAAACCCAGCTCAGATTCAAGAAAGTGGCAGGAGCCAACAGAGCCCACCTCCGCTTTGGCGGGGCTTTGCAGACTCCCATGGCACATTCAGTGAGATACAGTCTTCCTATTCCGCACCCATCAGTGTGCAGGCAATGAATTCCCATATGGTAACAGCTTTGTGAGCTATTTCCCCACAGGGCATGCTGCTCCCAGCCTGCTCCTGCACAACCCCTGTGGAACTGGAGCACTGGGATTTCCAAACCTGTAACGAGCAGCAAACCATACCAAACAAGGTGATGTGACTAAAAATCCTTATTCCTCTCACATTCAGAGGATGCTGCGGCCCCGGGCAGAGGCTGTGCTGAGAGCCACAGGGCCAGCCAGCAGCCTGGGGCTCCAACTGGCACCCAGCACACAGGAGCTGCCATGGCTCCCCCAGGTGACAGCACCTGGCCAGTGGTCCCTGACCCCACCAAAACCTGAGAGACCCACAACAATTCTGTACCAAAGAGGTCTGATGTGTTGCTCCCACCCCTCATCCATGTCAGCCTCTCCTGAGGCTGCGATTTCTCCACTCATCCCGCTCTCTGGCAGGGAATTAGAAGATGTGAAAAGTGGCTTTTAAAGTGGGCTTTTAATTTTTTAATTCAGAAGAATACAAATGCAAGCTACTCATAGGGTTGCCAGGTGGAACTGCTGCATGTTTGCTTATGTGCATAACCCTGAGCTAATGCTTGGAAGAACTGCCAAGAGCATCCCAAGGCACAGCCAGCTCCAGGACAACAGTTCAGCCAGAGAGCTCCGCACCTCATCTCCACCACACTGTGCCATTACTTCTCATAAAGAAAATACCAAAACAGTCCTCACCCTGGTTCCATTTCCACAGGAGCTGAGGGAAGCTTTGACCTTTCACAGCATCTGCTAACACAGACCATAATGAAGCATAATGACCACTTAATGAAGCAGGAGATGGCATTTCTATAACATGCAAGTGACAGGCTGCTGCTTGATTTGAGCAATATGCATTAACAAGACATGTTACCTGCTAATGGCAAAATTAAGCCCAGCTGTATTAAGTCACGGTGACATACCTTGCCTTGACAGAGCTCATTTTACAGCTCTTTCATACTGTGCATTTGCTGCAGGGTATATCCAAGGCTTGGTGCATTGCTATTAATTTTGGAGCCGTGACCATTCACACCAATGCTGCCTTGATCTGTTTGCTGCCCAAACACACTGGCAACAACGCCAGCACAGCCAGCAGTCACTGCACACCACTCACCCATGCAGTTAAGCATCGCTTTTTCTCAGCTCTAATGTAAACACCCTGAATTGAGAGCACTCAGGATGAAATCAAAATTTATTAGCCTTTCTAAATTCCAATTAGAAGCCTCAGATGTAATGTTATTGAGGCTACAAATAAATGTTTAATAAACCAAAGTCACTATATCAATAAGCTACAAGTACATTGTTACATTATGGATTGCTCTTGCAGAGCAGTACTATTTCTCACGTTTTACAGAGGTATTTGGTATTCTCTGTTGATAGCATCACAGCAAATACTCTCACTTTGCAGTTCTGACCTCTCATTCGTATGCTGCTTGAAATCCCAGTCCTAGAGCAAAACAGAGAGCTGGCTACTTTCATGTGTATTTAGTAAACAACCGCTGGAAAACACTATGATGCTTGGATTAGGATGCAATAACACTAATGAATCCAGTAGGGCAGCAACTGCATGCTGGTTTTACAAATGAAATTGTTCAAACATCCTCTCAGTTTAGAAGTTACTTATTTTCATTGCAGACCGACTGACAGTATGTTAATTGCTCCCATTCATAACAAGGGAAAGACATACATATTATGCAACCAAATAGCTCAAACCAAGCAACAAGTATGCACCATAAATACCAAGCAAGGGTTAACTGAAGTCACACAGTGATTGTGTCACCTGACATCCCAAGCTCACTCTGCATTTGCACCACTGAGCCTCACACCTGTGTCACAGCCAAGCCACAGCCTCCTTGCAAAGCCTGATCCACAGCTGCACCACACAGCAGAGCCACGGGATTGTGGTCCAGTCCCCAAAGTCAAAAGAAAAATTCTAACGGAATAGATTTGGATCCCCACTATAAATGCATCCAAGCTTACTAGCAGTTTCCTCGCTTGAGCAAGGCACAGATCTGCAGGAGATGAGCCCATACAGACACCACTGCTCACAGCACTGCAAGCTCACAAATGGAGACCCAGCATGAAACGAGCTGCTGCACAGGTGAAACCATGAACAACATTTGCAGCTAAACACCAGCAGCCCCCTGGGATCCAAGGGGGGAGGGTGGAGTGCCACCCACCTGCTCTCTGCAACCTGTGAGAGCAACCAACCAACTCCTGTGTAATGCAAGCACCAGAATTAAACCTGACTATTTTCAGCAAAGGTGAGCACCACATCTATTTATGACACCTCCTTTGGTTTCAGGGCAATTCCTTCCAAAACCATTCATGCTCTTGTGCTACAGAATAGTTAAATTCACCTGCAGCTCATGGCTCCTTGCATTGATCTAGAGCTGCAGCCTGGCTTGCAGCTGGCATTGCTTTACCAGGAAAGGCTCCAGCAGCACAGCAGCACCATTAATAGCCCAAGGATGGTCCATCCTGTACTCAGATGGGTTTACACACACACCAAGGCAGAGAGAAAACTGAGAATCAGCACAACGCATCTGAATGAAGAGAACAACAGCAAGCAGCCAAACTAAAGGCACCAGCACAGGTCTCAGGGCTGCTCCAGCAAAATGAGGGTCACCTTGAAAAGACGGACTGATCCAAGGGCCAGTGGAGCACAGAGCCCCCGAGCTGCTCAGAGCTCTCCGTGGTGCACAGCCAGCAGTCAGGCTGCTGGATCACTGCACAGAGCACACAACTTTTTCCTCCCCAGCACAGAAGAAGCGTTTAGAATTCCTTGAGGGTGACCACAAGGAGATGAAGCCATTCGCCCAAACCAGTCATTGGTTTTCTGTTCAGGGCTCCTTCAATCGCAGCTTTTTTTTTTTGTTTTTTTTTTGGCTTTTTTTAGGGCTGAAAAAATTAATAGCTCACAATAGCTTTCAATAATTTCCAATGAGCTCCACATTAGAATGAGAATCAACTTAATTACCTGAAACGATGGCTGTTGCCATAGCAAAAGGAAAGCACTCCGACCAGAGCTTTACCTCTGTAAGCTGGCTCTGATGACACCAGATAAGAATCTGATCCTCATTCCTCTGCCACCAACCGCTCCGATTGCTTCAGCCTCACCTAAACAGCATTTCTGGGCTCTGCAAGTAACGCCGATGTCCAGAAATTCTCATCAAGTGTGAGAAAGTTACAAAATTAATGAAAGATCCGTTCCAGAAAAGCCTTTCAGCAAAGCAGAGGAAGGCAGCGATTTCAGCCAGCTCTCCGCACCATCTGACACAGACAAAGTTTGGATGCATTAAGAACTCGCTGGAACCAACTGCATGACTGCTGCATTGCTTTCGAGCAAAAGCACGCTTATGAATATTTCAAAGAAAATTTCACTTTCAATTCTTCCAGACACTTCAGCGCTCCCAGAAAGAAACGCTAGGAAACGTCAGCCCTGTGGGGATGAAGGACCACGAAGAAACTCCCGAACCCGACAGAGCCGTATTGCTGCGGGTTGGTTCCGAGGCTCAGCGCACGGCAACACCGCAAAACCACTCACTCCCAACGCAAGAAAGCGCTTTAGACAAGACAGCATGCCCGGGATCGCCACCAGTAAGAACCGCACCGCTCCGGTGAGATAACGGCACGGAGGCGCCGGATGCCGAGCACCGCTCGCGTCCCCCCGCCGCTCCACGCGCGGACCCGACGGGGCGCTCCGGCTCCACAGCGCCACCCAGAGGCCGCCGGGGGAAGCGCCATCCCCACTCGCGACCGCGGCGGGACGCTCAGCACCGCGGACGTCGGCATCGCCCGCTTCGGTGCGGCCCTGCTGCAGCACTTCGCCGGGAGGGGACCGCCCCGACCCCACGGAAAGAATCCTCCCCTCTTTTTCCCCACGCTGCGGGACTCGGGGGGCAGAAGAAAGAGCGCTCTCCGAGAATTGATGAAGCCGGCAGAGCTCCCGCAGCATCCCCGGCAGAGTGCACGGCGGAGGGTCCCCCGCGGGCTCTCCCCGCACAGCGGCAGCGCACCGGGACCGAACACGACGGAGGAACCGCGCGGAACCCCCAGCGGGACGGGAGAGCTGCGGGCACGGCCGCGCGGAACGCACTCACCTGCGGGACGCCGGGACGGGGCGGGAGCGGCGGCGGCCGTGTACGCGCCGCGGGCCGGGGCGGCCCTATTTCTGCTCTCTGGGCCGGAGCCGCCTGACGTCAGCGCCGCATTTGCATATTCCACCCAATCGCCGGCACCTGTGCGGGACGGCGGGACCGCCCCCTCGGGACACGCGGGGATGGGGACGGTGGTACGGGAGGGACCCGACGGGGGGCACCGGGAGCGGACGGCGGGGCCGCACCGTCGGGGGGCGGAGGGCTGCGGCGCCGTCCCGGGGCGGCACGCCTGGAGTGTAGGGGGCGGGGTCCCAACCACCCCGTAGGGATGCCGCCGTCCGGAGCTGGCAGGACGTAGGAGGGTCTGCTGGGGAAGGGGGATCCGAGGGATCGTGGGGGCATCCTGGATAGGAAAGGTGTTGGGCTGCTGGGTTTAGCCTCCGCACACCCCAAATTCGCAAACTAACTGCCCCAAGCGCCCTGCTGTTGCAACCTCACAGCGTGTAGCCGCTCATTGGGGCGGACATCCACGGGGATAAGGGGAAAACGACGCAGCCAGATCACAGCTGCTCCACCCCAATGCACTGCCAACGTCTCTGCGACATGGGGTTGCCCTTACGAGGCACCAAATTGTCCCAGTAGGACTGTGCAACTCACCAGCAGCACGCTGTTTCACAAAGAGTTCCTTTTCTTTTCGTGGTTGCACAGAAAACAAACATTAACATTCCCTCATTCTCCTCTTTGCCATCGCATATGCTAAAAACAAAAATAAAAATCAATGTAATCATTGCTCATTTGTTTTTTAAAAAATGTTGAGTGTTTACAGGAGAAGAGCACAAAACCGGACTGCAAAGAGGATCGAGGGCGTTTGCTTTCAATGCACAAACTGCATCGCAAAGGAGCAAATGCTCACAATTAGCAGCAGAAGGAGATGAGCTGCCTAAATGACCTGATAAAATATGGTAATTTGTGTGTTCCTTCGCATATAGAAACGTCCAGCCGGATCTGAGCGTATTAAATAGGATTTGTCATTGGCTTTGGTGTGAAAGAAACAGGACCTCCTGCTCAGCTGTTTGAGAAGGCACGGATTGCCCCAGGAAAGCAGCCCACGTCTGGAAGAAAATCCTCCTATTAAAAAATGGCTTCAATAAAAGACAGCAAGAGGCTCTGTGATGAGCACAGGCTTCTCTGTTGTCACTATTGTTCAGGGCAGGAAATGCAGAGTGGTCAGACAGGTCAGTGCTCACACTTCGTTATGGTCAGTGCGACGCTGCACCTCCAAAATACTCTCAGCATTTACAAAATAAAGCAACAAGAATAGATGGGGTTTATTCTGCCCGAACAAAGTGCAAAAGCTTACAAGGACTCCGCCTTGCTCAGGGAACAGAAAAACCCAAAGAAAATAGAAATAATATCAGCAGAGACAACTCCTTCCTGTTTCCCAAAAGAAAGAAAGTTTTGTTGCTTAACACCATTCATTCCATGCAAATACCTCAGACTGTGCTGTCAGCTTGAAGCATTTGGTCATTTCTCTGCTTCTCTAAAAGATGGGCATAAACATGAGACAGACACCTGAGGTATCCCCACAGCCTCTATTTGTTTCCACACACTGTGTGCCAGGCGATGCTGCAGTTGGCACTCAGTTTTGCATAATCTGGTGCAGTTTGAAAGGCACAGACTGGGGGTGCTGAGATAGTTGGGGGGAGCAGCGTGAGAGCAGCAGCACCTGTCCTTGGGCTGGGCAGAAAGGTGATCCCTGGAACACAGTACCAAGCTTGGTTTTCCCCACCAGGGTGAACTCACTCCTTCTGCCCAGCTGTCCCCATTGGCAGGGAGATTTGGGGAAACAACCCTAAATCTGGCCATGCATGCCCTACCTGCCCCCAGCACAGAGCACCTCCAGGTCCCTGCATCCCATCCCAGGAGAGCTGGCCCTGCAGTTCTATGCCCATGGCCACTGGGTCTTGATGGCTGAGTGAGGAGCATTGATGGGACAATTCAGCTCATGGAAGGTGCTGCCTGCTCCTCCATCAGCTGTGCTGACTGCTCCTCATCAGGCATCCTCAGAGCCCAATTTCTTCTTGCATTACAGGTGCAGTTAGGAACCAAAACCCATTTGGGGGACTTCTCTTACACACCGGGGTCCTTTGCGATTCTCCGATGGTTTCCAGCCTTCCTGACCTGTTGAAAACATTTCTAAAAAGAAGAGCCCTTCCTCACAGCCTCGCCCTTTGGTTGGCCCCATCCCTCTTTTCAGTGCAAGTTGCACTGAGGCAAAGTAAGCTGCAGAAGCCACTGCTTAGGTAAGGGAGATGTCACTGCCTTCCCAGCAGCACCTTCCCAAAGCCCCTCTGCTAAAGGAGCCAGGGGGCTCTCTGGGAGAGCTGCTGTTCCCCCACACTGCGTTGCTCAGCTACAAAGCAAACAGCTCTGATACGGAGCTGGGGAAATAAAGGAAACATGAACACATTCCTCATCTTTGGGGCCATGCGAGTTTGAAGCAAAATAATTCTTGTTTTCCTTTGAACTGCGAATTGAAGAGGCCCAAAAGACAGTGATTAGAGCTGGGAGGAAAAGAAAAACAGATGAATTTAAAGACAAACTGCAGGAGGAGAAGATTCCCACGCAGAGAAAGGGCAGAAACAAGAGTTTGCCATTATTTTTTCAGTGGGATAACCCACTGGAATGAGAATGAGGCATTCTCCCTTCCACTCACTTTAAAAATACACATGTGTGTTTAAACCAAACACAAAGAAATCAAATAAAAGCACTCTGGAAGTTGAGGGGAGCTGAAGCAGGGGGTGTTCAATACAACGTGGGCACAACCAGGGGCTGTGAAAAGGAGAAAGCTGGGCCGGGTCTGGGCTGCGCTGCGCTGAGAGGAGCTGGAAATGTGCAAACTGTTGTCAGCTCTGACAGCTGCGGCTCCGTGAAGTTGATGAGAAATGTTAAGCAGCAGATTGGCAGCGCGGAGCCCCGCGCCACTGATGATGCGATAGCGTTCAGCAATGACCGCGGCTGTTAGTTTAAGGGAAACAGTTTTGAAGAACAGATGGTCTTCTCTTATTGGACTTCAAAATGGGAAGAAAAAAAAAAAAAAAGAAGCAGTAACGAGCATAGCCAAGGCTGCTTGCTTCTACCAGCAAAGGAATTAACCGGTAACCATCTGAAGTAATTCCAAAATTCACTCCGTGATCTTCAGAGGAGGAAGATACGATTACTACTTTGAAAACTCAAGCTTGGAATGACAGCAAATCATCTCCCCCCTCTTAGTCCTGCCCTGCTGTTCAAATGCAGTAATTGAACGCGGGTTTTCGAAAGAACATTGTATTCAGTGGAAAGAAACAGCCGAGGAAGTAATAGGACAACAAGATTCATGCTCACCACTCCCCGTTATTTGAACCAAGAGCCATAATCAGACCTGATTAAAACAGGAACTCAGCCGCAGACTCAACCTAAACTGGGGATATTAAACAAATACAAATGTGACAAGAGTCACAATTCAATTATTAGGAGTCCATTTTTTAATTGCTCATTAAGATGGCAGTGTGTATCTTTGCCCACATACGTTTAGCAAAGCCTTTTCGCTTTGACAGCGCATAAAATTCTCCATGCCAACTGTATATCTCTTACTTTTCATGTCAACTTTAGAGTTGCTGGTTTTTCATTATCTTCTTGGTCACAAATTAATAGTGAGGAACAAATTTAATAGCAGCCTGAAACCTTTGCAGATTATGTCAGCTTCGTGTATCTGTGCTGGTTAAATTACCATTTATTTCTGCTTAAATTTAATACGGTCATCTTCATACAAACACAGACTCAAAGCCCGCTCTCACAGTACAGCATTCACAGACCGAGAGGCTGCTCTGAAAAGCTGACATGGAGCTCAGATGTGAACCTTGCCAACCCCACAGGATGCAGCAGATGGAGAGGAATGGGGTCAAGAGCCGAAAACAAGCAGGAGTCTGCAGGCATCATTCTCCCATTGCACTGCCAGCAGGATAGCTCAGGATGGGCACACACACCAGTGCCACATCCTTTAGCTGGCCAAAATGGGTCTTGGCTCCCACCTACAGAGGTGCTGCCCTCAGTGATCCACTCTTCATTGCCTTGGCCATGCTTTAGTAAGTGATTGCTCTGCTGAGCCACTGGCCCTGGCTGCCTGGCAGCGCTGGTAATCGCAGTGCTTCGTCACTGCCGTCGGAGCTGCCAGCCCAGAATAATAAAAAAATAAATCGTAAAAGATGTTTTATACCAAAGGAAATACTAAACGTAGGAACAGCGGTTTGATTCATTTCACAGCTGTAGTCTTTTTTGATTTGTTCGTAATTTTCTACACTACTGCTTCCAATCTGAAACTGTCTGGGCCCGGGATGACAATGCGAATGGGATAACAGACGATGAGCTCCAAATACTGAACACAATCAGAGTCACCCACAACCAGTGTGCCATTGGAGGGAGGAACATCGGCCAGTGGGCAAAGTTTGGAATAGGAAATGTTGCAGGGACTCGAGGCACAGTTCTGATTTCCGGGGAGCTGTCAGTGCAGCTGCATATGGGACATCAGAATGGTCCAATAAATAACCTCAGATACCCGGATTAAAGGTGATGTAGGACCTTCAGTATTCCTCTGTTCCCATTGCCCTGTGAGATGGAGGGCAGCAGGCTGGCAGCAGGGCCAGGGACTGAGCTCAGAGCTTGGGGAGTGATGCTTTCCTCTATTTTCTTGTCTCAATATTTTGTTGCTCTCCTCGCCTAGATGCATTGGAGAGATCATCAAAGACAGTGGACAGTGTTTATCTGAAGACAAGAAAGCACTTTGATCCATAGGCACAGTGGATAATAAGGTGTCTAGCTTTGTTTCCAAGCTCTTTGGCAATTCACAGTGCAGTCATGCCATAGGAAAGTCCTGGTGCATATTTTGAAGCATATGGTGATCTGTTTTTTTTTCAACTTGTTTTTGAGAGGAATGCTTAAGTGAGGAGCTTTGTAGAGCCGTGAGGACACAGGTGAGCAGGCAGCTGCTCAGAGGCGGGGGCTGCTCACCT